CACACACACACACACACACACACACACACACACACACACACACACTACAGCTTCATTTGTAACGTGAGCTGAGAGGATGCTGGCTGCCCGGCCCTCCCACATCTTTAACACACACACACACACAACACACACACACAACACACACACACAACACACACACACACACACGCACACACACACACACAGCTGGAGGATTGATAACAGACGCTCCCCAGCAGAGCCAGACTGAACAACACGATCCAAAACAAGGAAGCAGCCAATCAGTGCAGCCGCTGAGGTCACATGACCGATCCAAATGTTTTTATCTCATCGCTGATAATAATAGGCACAGACATTTTTTGGGCTTGAGATCAACATTAATTATCAATAATTGTAAACTAAGCGTTGAAAAAGAGTTAATTCAGAGATGATCACATTTGTGTCATAACATGAAAAAGTTTCCAAATCCCAATGAAAGCTCTGAACCGTTGTAATATTCCAGAGAAAAGTAAGAACTGTGCGGGTCTTTGTGGCGTGTTCAGGCCCGGCAGCCGTCAGACGAACATGAGGTCATGAAAACAGACGAGAGGCCGCGTCTTTTCCAGCAATTAGATGGTTCCGATAGGCCTCTGCTCTGTCTGATGAGATTATCAGCAGGGCCGCTCCTCTCAGCTCAGGCTAATTTGAAAAACGCAGCCTCCTCCTCATCTCCTGCTGCACAGAGGAGAACACTGAGGAGGAGGAGGAGGTTCTGATGGAACCAAGGAGCAAGGAGGAGAAAACATCTGGATGCAGCGAACCGGTCCACACAGAAAAGTTCTTCTTCCATACTGCACACAGCAGCTCTGTGAGGCCCGGTGTTCTGTCTGCCTGTCTTATAAAGAGTGCTGGCTCTCATAAAATGATGGTTGCACAATTTAAACAAAGCTGAATTAATTCAGACTCCAGACTTGGACCATTGATCGACAACGATCAATTTAAAATAAAAAATACACCTAACGGTCGTTGTCCTGCCAAGAAAAACTAAAACAAACACAAACAATAACTAGAGAAACTGCATTTCCTGTGAAAAGGCAGTGTGAGTGCTTATTGCTGAAAAACAGCTGAAATGAGCTAAAAACACGCTGAAATGGAACTGAAATGGAAGAACAAGCCTAAGAGAGCAGAAGAAAGCAGAAAGAACACATTCTTACTGAATTAGGTTTAAATAAGCAGAAATGAGCACAAAATTCAACAGATTAACTTAAAACGCTTAAATTAGTAAATAAAAAAAGCTGAAAAGGCAGAAAGAAGCTTAAGCTACCAGAAAAATGTGGAAAGAGCTGAAATGAGTTTAAAAAAATGTGGAGCTGAAAAAGCTAAGTTTAGCACAAAACTGTGAAAAAGTAGCTAAAATATCAGAAAAAGCTGAAACTTGCAGAAAAAAGCTGAAAGGAGCATAACAAGCTGAAAATAATAGAAAGAAGTTCGAAGAAGCACAAACGTTTTAGTTAGAAGAAAGAAGCTGAAGGAGCACAAAACAGCTAAAAAAAAACCCAGATGAAAGAAGCTGAAGCAGAAGAAAATGTGCAAGGAGCAGGAAAAGTTAAACACATCTAAAGATCTGAAGGAGGTAAAATGAGCTCAGTTCATTTTCTGTGAGAAAGAAAATGTCAGAAAAGGCTAAATATTTCAAACAGCTAAAGTTGCACCAAAACCAAAAGTCACAGCAGGACTGTCCTGGAAGAGAACGTGAAAGCTTGAAAACTGTGGGACGAGGACGACGCTGAAAAACGTGCAGAAGACAAATGGATCAGAACAGAGTGCACGCTTCATGAACGTTCACTGTGCGTGAACTGAACTGGCTGCTCCTTCTAGACAGATGGTTCTGGGTCCTGGTTCTGACAGGCCGGATCTGATCTGAACGGTCCGTTTGACCTGGTCCCTGAGGGGTCACCTGCCTGCTGGTCTCTTAGCAAGACGACCATTTCTGTGTGTGTGTGTGTGTGTACACTGTGGTTATAAACTTTTAAACACAGAGTTTACCTCTAAATCAACGCAGTGTTTATGTGTCTGTTAGCTAAATATCTGATGAAGCACTGGATGGATGAGAGGCTTCAAACTCTGCTACAAAACGAAACAATCAGCATCTTTCAGACCGAGGACCAGTCTCAGTCCAGTCAGACTCCTCACATCTTCTCCTGGATGCAGGTTCCTCAGCATTAAAGGTCTTTAGGTCCACTCAATTTAATATGGCCGCCACAGCCAACTGATATTAGCAAACAGTGAAATGGCTAAAAGTCTGAAAAATGTACAGATATTAAGCTCCAGTTTGGAGTGATGGTAGCTGAGAGTCATTCCCAAACTGGACTCTGAGCACAAACTCCTTCATGGACATGCGTTAAGAACAGCGGGGTCTTTATTTTTATTCGTCTTTATTATTAAACACAACACGAGGAGAAGAAAAGCAACTTCTTTCATCAAAGCTTGTTTCCTGTTTTGGAATCAAACCAGGATGTGAATTGGATCGACCTGTCAATCAAATCTGAAGCTGCAGGCGGGATTCCTCCGTGGCAGTGGTAGCAGTAGCAGTGGTAGCAGTAGCAGTGGTAGCAGTAGCAGTAGCAGTGGTAGCAGTAGCAGTGGTAGCAGTAGCAGTGGTAGCAGTAGCAGTCGTAGCAGTAGCAGTCGTAGCAGTAGCAGTGGTAGCAGTAGCAGTGGCAGTAGCAGTAGCAGTGGTAGCAGTAGCAGTGGCAGTAGCAGTGGTAGCAGTAGCAGTAGCAGTGGTAGCAGTAGCAGTAGCAGTGGTAGCAATAGCAGTGGCAGTGGTAGTAGCAGTAGCAGTGGTAGCAGTAGCAGTGGTAGCAGTGGCAGTGGTAGTAGCAGTAGCAGTGGCAGTGGTAGCAGTAGCAGTAGCAGTGGTAGCAGTAGCAGTGGTAGCAGTCGCAGTGGTAGCAGTAGCTGTGACAGTAGCAATAGTAGCAGTAGCAGTAGCAGTGGTAGCAGTAGCAGTGGTAGCAGTAGCAGTGACAGTAGCAATAGTAGTGGTAGCAGTAGCAGTGGTAGCAGTAGCTGTGGCAGTGGCAGTAGCAGTAGCAGTAGCAGTAGTAGCAGTAGCAGTGGCAGTGGTAGCAGTAGCAGTGGTAGCAGTAGCAGCTGGCTAACGGCTGAACAGTCTCAGCTGTTTTACTGGCAGGACAAAAGCAGTTTAAGGAAGCGTCAGCGGTCACAACGACATGAACGATGTTCTGTTTGGACTCTTCTGCCAGAAGTTCTTTGATAAACTGCTGAAATATTTGTGTCGTGTTATTTACTCTTCCTGTGATTAATGAGCTGCTCTCTGGCAGTGAACTAAACCAAGAATGTTTGCAGACATTAACCATGCCTGTGAGTTTTAGAACACAGATAATAAGAAGAGCAGATTAAAAAGTAAGCCTCAGACAGGCAGTTGCTGTTTAAAGTGTTCGTTCTTTGACTTGTATAAACTTTTAACTTTTAATGTGGAGCTCCAAACAGGACTGGGTTTCTCCCTGGAGTCAGTAAAACTGTTGGCTCCTGTGGGGATTTCTTCTCTGGAATCGTTGTTAAAAAAAACATTCTTCCTCCTAAACTATCTGTCAGATCAGAGGCAGTGTGTTCGACACAACGGTACTTCTTCTAGCTATTTAACTGTCAATAATGGTGTGCCACAAGGCTCAGTTTTAGGACACACTCTCTTTACAATCTATATAAATAATGTAGGTCACAACATTCTTGACGCCTCCTTGCATCTCTATGCTGACGATACAGTTGTTTACTGTCGAGCTAAAACTGTTGCCAAGGTTTTCCAGTTCCTACAGTCTGCATTTGACATCATCCAGTCTGACTTGTTCCATCTCAAACTGGTGCTAAACGCTGATCAAACCAAAGGGATGATGCTTTCAAACAGAAAGTTGGTGCCAGCTGTTCTTCCTCCCCTCTCATCCATGCATGGTGTTCCTATTGAGTTTGTAGATTCTTCCAAATACTTGAGAATTTTAATGGATGCACATCTCTCTTAAGCTGCATGCTGAAAACTTGATGAAGAAACTGAAATAGAAACTGGGTTTATTTTCAGAAATAGATCTTGCTCAACTCTGAATGCCAGAAAACACCTTGTAACTGCAACTTTCCTACCGGCCATTGACCACGGTGACATTATTTACAAGAATGTTCCTGCCAGCTGCTTGCAGATGTTGGATGCTGTCTATCATGGTGCGCTAAGATTCATAACTGGTTGTAACTCCCGTACCCATCACTGATCCCTGTACTCACTGGTCAGTTGGTATCTACACGTAGGCTCTCACACTGGTTCATCTTCATCTATAAATCCCTCCATGGTCTGCTGCCTTCTTATATCTCCTCCCACATGTCACGTCGTCAGTGCAGTTACAGCGTGCGCTCTCAGGCCATCATTACCTGCAGCGTCCCCTCAGTGTGGACTGAACTCAGCAGAAAGGCCTTTACTCGACTCATGGGACCTGGAACACCTTGCAACAGGAACTGAAGCTGTTCACTTTGATTTCAAGTGATTTTAAACATTTGATGATGTCATTAGGAAAATTTAAACAAATTTGTTCCTGTTTTTAGTATTTTACCTTGTTTTATATGACGTCTTGATTTGACTGTGTTTATAACTTTGATTTTAATTGTTTTATTTGTTGAATTATTGTCGTCTTTACTTTATATGTTGTCTGTCTAAACCAGGTCTGTCTTGTAAATGAGTCCTCGTGACTCAGTGAGACTGACCTGCAGAAATAAAGGTTGAATGAATGAATGAAGTTCTGGCCCAGTGAAGCTAAACTTTATCATCTGATTTTTTCATGAGAGAAACAGAAAAATTAGAATAAACCATGAGAAGTAACGAGTGCTTCAACGTGGATCAAATGGTGCCAATAATGAACTTTTTCAAAAGGTTTCCTTCCCTTCACCTTTATCGACGGCTGATTACCTACCAGCTCAAATGTTTGATGGATTTGGATCTCATTCATGTTTAAAGAAGAATAATCTTATAACAAGCAGAATGATTGGACCTAAATTTGTTTTTGATGTAAACAAATCAACAACTTCTGTCTACAGCCTGAGTTTGACTGGTGAGATTACTGGAAGATAATTTAATCTCAGCTGATCACAGCTTCTTCTTCTGTGTGTTTGCAGAAATGTCTGACGTGCCGTGATCTTTGGCTGGACCTCCTCCCCGGACCTGGCGTTCGGCCCTGGTACCGCCCAGCTGGATCCCCATGATGGAACCCACTCGTTCCTTCAGAAATGAGATGGACTCAGTGCTCTCGCTGGAGCAGATCCGGGCCATCCGGGCCAACAATGACTATGTGGACAGACCCGTGGCGCTGGAAGCAGCATCCCAGTCTGGATTTTACTATGCCCACGAGGACCGTTACCCTCATGGGGTGTTCAGTCATCACTCCCAGCCTTCCTTCTCCTCCACCCTGTCTCGCAGCCAGAGTCAGCAGCAGCATGCTCATTTTTCCCACCTGAGTCGCTCCAGCACCGTCAGCTCCTCCATTTCCAGAACCAGTGCCACCTCTGACCAGCGGCTCCTGGCAGGTCTGACGCCATCTCACAGTGGTTTGGGTTCAGTGGTCCATTCTCAGCCTAAAGGAGAGCTGAAGCCCGACGCTTCGTTCAGTAAAGTCCTGACAGACGATGAGGTGGACCTTGGCCTCCACTCGTTCATCTGTGAGCAGTGCGGTCGCTGTAAGTGCCAGGAGTGCTGCAGCCCTCGCCGCCTCCCGTCCTGCTGGGCCTGTGGGCAGCGCTGCCTCTGCTCTGCTGAGACCGTCGTGGAGTACGGTACGTGCCTGTGCTGTGTCAAAGGCCTGTTCTACCACTGTTCGGCCCAGGACGATGAGGATAACTGCGCCGACCGGCCCTGCTCCTGCGCCCCGGCACACGCCTGCGCTCGCTGGAGCACCATGGCCCTGCTGGCCCTCTGTCTGCCCTGCCTCTGCTGCTACCCCTCTGCCAGGCTGTGCCTTGCCCTCTGCCAGTGTGCCCATGACCGGGCCACACGGCCCGGCTGCAGGTGCAGCAACACCAACACAGTGTGCCGCAAGATATCCGCCTCCAACCCAAACGCTGGTCACCCCTCGCTGCGGAGCAAAGCTCTGGAGAAGCCGTTATGACACGCTTGGAGCTTTTTAGCTGTGCAAGAAGAAAAACCATCGCTAGCTAAGAGTCGTGACATTGTGACCCACCTACAAGCCTTTGACAATCTGACCCGCCCACCACGAAACAGCTCAAGAGGGACCAAAGCTTCACGGTGCCAGTTCTTGTTGGAGACTCTTCTTGAAGGTCAAACAGTCGTGCGTCACTGGAAAACCCCTTTAACCCTCAGCTGAGACTCACGGACAGGAAGAGCCCGTCTGCGTTCTGCGGAGATAACATCTACTTGTTGTTGAGCCTCTTTCCTCCCCACCCTTTCCAGAAGGAGCTCGCACAGAGAGGAGGCCAAGCGAGGAAGGAAAGACACCTGTGGCACGCCCACCGTCTCTCCCAACAGCCTTCTGTCCTCTAGAACAAATCCAAAGCAAGAACGAAGATGAAGTGACGTTCAGAGCGCTCGGAGTGAAAGAGAGCGACACGAAAAGAGAAACTGTGGCAGTTGAAACGAGAACACGGGACCGTGCACGGCACAAACTGCTGCCGAGCTCATTTGTAAGAGAAAAGCACTGTGAGGTAAATGTTTACCCTCCACGCCCAGAACTGAACGGGATTTAACCGGAGGAGGATGCATTTGTTGTGAGACAGAGTGTGTGTGTCCTCAGCCTGTGTGTGTTTGTTGTGTTGTCAGCAGAAGCGTCCCTGATTTTATTTTTAGCTGCTTCAGCCGAGCTTCAGGGTCTGCTCGGGTTTCCTCTTGAAGTCAGTCTGTCGCCAGCCGCAGCCCTCTGACCACCTCCTCCACCTCCTCCTCCTCCTCCATCCTCCATCCTCCTTTTGACGTCCAACCACCAGTCGGGCTCGTCGCATGTCGACGATGATAAAACAGCAGCTGGGACTCCAGCGTCAGAAAAGTGTGATTTAAAGGACCTGCATCTAAACGTGAGGCCGATAAATTCAGTGCCTTGACAAAAAAATAAAAATTAGTCTAAAACATCAAACAAACATCTGCCAGTCAGAACAAACTAAAATAACTAAGTTCATCTTATTTTAAAAACAACAGTTTTATTCATTTGGTAAAAACTTTAAAATAATTGTATGTCTCTTGCAGTATTTAGTGCTAACATTTATCTGCAGGGCCGATATTTTAGGCCGATATAGGCGATTGGGGACATATCGGTACTGGTGATTATTGGCCCATTGTGTGCCGATACAAACACATAATTCTCACCACTAAAGCACTGGGAACGGTCGTTTCTTTGATTAATTTATATTTTTGTGACACGATAACTTTATGGTGAATAGAGGAGGAGAGAACACGGATGCACGTTAGGACGACTGGTTCAAGACTTCAAGAGTTAAAACAGGTTTAAAAGTAGCTGTTTACTGAGACTGTTGGGGGGGAGGGGGCGGGGGGGGATAAAAAATGTCCAGCCAGTATATCAGTTATTGGAATTAGCCGTGTCCTCCCAATATCGTTATCGGTGAAACCCAAACTTTCCATATCGGTCGGGCTCTAATAAATATTACTAAAAACTAAACAGCTGGACGAGTTTTATTCAAACTTTCAGAACAAGAACCTTGAACCCACAAGGGATTAAACTTTGGAGGCAGCCTGATGGCCCCAAGTCTTCCCACGTACAGAGCTGGTAGTAGCTGAGCATCATCCCCAACACTCGACCGCTCACACATCCAGATCTGTTGGATCACGAGGGCTGACATGATCAGTTATTTTAAACTGATTTAGTTGAATCTTTTCGTCGTGCGGCTGACGTCTTGACGCACGTTTGGGACGTCGGGTTTTAGCTGCAGTTCCTTTGAGAAGCTCGTGCACTAAAAGATGCTTTGAGAGCATCGTTAAAGCGCCATGACGCTCAGGTTGGGACCATTTGAGGACCCCCACCCCCTCAGGGTCTCCATAAGGAGGAGACGTTTTATTGTCTCAGGGCTGAAAGTGAAACTTGGAGCTCGTCATCCTGAGATGGGACGAGAAGCGTCCGACCCAGCAGACCATCCAACGCCCTCACGCTGCAACTCCCTCCTGCCTCGTCTGCCTTACAGCTCAGACGGCTAAAAGCCTTGAGCTGCAGGTCCACAGAGAGCTGATCCAACAATTAGCTTCCTGTTAGCTCTTAATGGCCAGAGGCCGGGGGGGGGGGGGGGGGTGTGTTGGAAGATGGCGATGGAGGGAAGAGAGGATGTTGCCATGAGGTCAGATGAGCTCATGCATGTTGTTTTTAAAGCAGATAAAACGACACACACAGGTCTGAGTGTGTGTGTTTTTAACTCTGTGTGTGTGTGTGTGTGTGTGCTTTAGTGTGTGTGTTAGCACAGACACACACCTGATACGTTGAACGTTGCGTTGCCATATTTTTATATGTAAATACGAGCTCTTTTTATTCCACTTCACTCTCTCACGTTCACCTGGTTAGTTCGTGTCACAGCTAAAATTTACCGTTACGCACGTGATCCGGTCGGGAACGTTTGGGGCAACTCAGGCAACAGGAACGTTTGGGGCAACTCAGGCAACAGGAACGTTTGGGGCAACTCATGCAGTGAAAGTTGCTGCAATGTTCTGCTCTTTGAGTTTCAAAATAAAAGCCTCGGTGTGCTTGAAAACTGCATCCATGTTGGTTTTCCCTGCAGGACGTTCGGTTCATGCAGGAACACAAAGTTTTCAAAGAACCGACTGTGACGAAGGTCTAATCTGATGCAGTGAAGGTTTTCCGTGCACGCTGCCCTGAATGCTTGTGTCCCTGGTTCTACAGGAACAGCCGGGTTGAAACCGGAGGACTTTAGTTCTTTAACATTTCAGATGTTCTTAAAGTCGTCTTGATCAAAACTTCTAAAAAAGATCTTTCAGCGTTTGTCTTTGGACTTTGGCTGCTTTCACGCTCCGTCTCAGTGCACGTGGTTCAATGAACACAAGACAGCTGTTGAGTTTAGCTCCGACAGTTTGATTCCCAAAGAGCTGAAAACTTGGCGTAGGGATCAGCTGAAGGACGATCACGTCAGGTCTTAGATGAACTCCAGACACAACTTCAAGTTTCAGTCGTTCCTCTGAACAAACATTTGAACACAGATTTTCTCCAGATGGCTCCTGAACACATCGTTTCCAGCTCCTCCTCAGAAGATCAGGAAGCCTCTTTGTCAAACGAGGAAGAGCAAAAAGATGGAGGAAGTTTTGAGTCTACTTCAAGCACATAGCCAGGACAGTTGGACCAGGTTGATCACACTAGGGAGAGGTGGGGAGTGATTTGCACGTAAGTTCAACTCAAAACTCCCTACAGTTTTATATCTTTTTTTAAGTTTCCCAAATGAGAATCAAATGGTTTTAAAACAAGGGTTGAGTCATTTTTGTTGTTTTTATTTAGATTTTAGACGTAAGCTTTGTTTTCCTGCCCAGTCTGATTCAAGATGGCTGCCAAAGCTAATTAACAGCCCAAACGCCGTGAGTTTTACAGATGCTGAGCTAAACTTGACCCGTCACAAACTCTGAGTAAATTCACCAAACTCTCTGAATTTGTTCGTGGCCGGTGATTTTCTTCAACGAATAGTTGAAACTTTTTAAGCACATATTTCATCAGGATTCTGTCAAAAAGCAGCCGAAGTCCAAACAGGACGTCTGAAAGGCCTTCGCCAAGTCCGAGCTGGCGATGAAGACCACAGTAAACCACGAAGAGTTCAGACGTGGGGATTTATTTGAACGTTGGCAGTTTTATAAACTTTGTGCTGTTTCTGACGTTATTTATGAGACGCAAACCTTAGAGACTTTTACTTTGTCTTCAGTTGTTCCTATAACCTGCTCAAACTGAGAGTTTGGACTCATTTATCTTGAAGGAGACATCCCCGTCCTCCGTTAAACCCTTCGGTCACGTCTTGGTGCTCGTTTCCTTCAGACAGAAACACGCGGCACAGTTTTCATTGGACTCCTCTTTTGGTTTCAAAGCGATTCATTTGCAGTCTCTATACATCAGAGAGGTGCATTGTGGGGGATGAAGTCCACTCAAAAACATTAACATGTTGAGAGTTTGAATTTCCCGCCGATCTGTTTGTGCTGAGTCCAAATTAGAACTGGTCTTGACTTCAGTACGTTGCGCAGACGTTCGGCTGCTAACGCTGCTGATGACCATCATGACTAACCTGCACCCTCCTCCGTCACGTGTGCCGACCCGCCTGTTTGTTTCCGGACACGCCCAACATTCCTCCGTCAGGAACCGACCCGCTGCTCCAAACGCTGCAACCACCGTTTCTCTTCGCGTCTTCACCGCTTTGGGTGCCAACCGGCTCCTCGTGTGTTGTAACAGATTTTAAAGGAGAGTATATGGAACAAAAACAGTATATATATAAGAAATAAATCTAAAATGAATATATTATATATATATATATATATATATATATGGAACAATACGCACTTCACACCTGGGTCCTTCGCTGTCATCGCTTCATGGATATTTATTTAAAAGGATGCAACTTTACCGGAACAATCGTGACGACGAGTTTTAATTTGACAGAGAGTCGTGAGACGAGGAGCGCCGACGTTGTTGATCGTCGTCGTTTGACTCAGTTTCTGTTCCTGTTGGTGCGGCTGCTGACGCCCTCCTGGCTGAAGATGAACCAATAAAAAAGTTTCCAACAACTAAAACTGTTTGAGGCTCGTTTGATTGTTTGTACACGACATCTGGATCGTTCTTCCAGCAGTTCATGTAATTCTGTTGTTTGTGCGTGAGATCGGGGGTCGAAAGGACCAAGTGCAGGAAGAACTTATTAAAAAAAAGGATCACATTAAATCATAAAACCATAGTTTAGACAAACAGAGGAGCACACGAAGAACAGAGAAGACCGAGGAGTTCAAGTACCGGGAGGTGATTGGTGGATGCAGAACAGGTGAGCAGGTAAACGTTGGAGAGCTACCTGAAACACGCTGAGCTGTAAAAATAACTGAAAACGTTAAAAAACACAAATAAAGGACGAACAGTGAAAGAAAATAATAATTCAAACCAAGCAGCAGGACGTTGCAACA